ATTGTACACGGCCAAGGGTACAGTAGCAGCCGAGCCGTATTTACTCTTTAATACAATACTTACAATACATCACCGCATCACGGCATAGATCACGGCTACCAGCCGGGGTTATTTAACCGTAATACAACTCTACAATGCAATACGAGTGTCAGCCGTGTTCCGGTTTTTGTCGATGAATGGCGAGTGCTTCTTTGAACAGCAGATTTGACCAGTGCTTAGCCCTGTCTATAATGTTGCAGTTGTTCAGTAGGAAGGCTGTTAGGTTAAACCGGAACTGAATCATGGGACTAAAGCATCCAGAGAACTATCGGTTTTTTATTATATATCAAATTACGTAGAGTATATATAACGAATGCACTTGTAATATAACCATTCCTGATGATGACTAAATAAAGTCGAAACGTTGAATCAAAATGCTTACTTTATTCGGAGTTACCGTTGTATTCTACAGGAATTCCTATAGGATCCTATAGGAATTCCTATAGGATTCCTATAGGATCCTATACCGTGAGACTGTTTCATTATTTGTTGTGTCCTGCTCTACTTCCAAAATGCGAATGCCAAAATAGCCGCTACTACCGTGAAAAATGTCAACCTCGAACGTGCGGATTGATCTATTCCACATCTACATAGAAAACATTCGCTTTACACAGCGTGTAGACTATTATTATTGCCTTGGACATAAAATAACTTCAAGGTTCTCTTTATTTCTCGGTTTTCTGCTTGTTTAGTGCATGGGCATACCGGAGGGAAAAAATTATGGAGCTATAGACATAAATATGCCCATGCAGACGTTGATGCAAATTGCCCGCAAATACAAAATTTTGGCGTCATTCTCATAATTTCAGGATCGCTAATATCCACTAAGATACATACTTTAAATTATGACACTTAATTGCGAGCGGTTTAGTGTAGAAAAAACCTCAAAATGTTGCCAAATACAACGCAGAAAATGCCTCATCACCCCATTAGCGCGTTTGACGCCGGCTGACAGCCGGAAATTTTGTCTCCGATTGCTCGGCTGCCAGCCGGGCTGTACTATAGTATACTATTCGTTCAAAAAATGCGCGCATTTCGGAGACTGGTTCTAGAATGTTTCATAAGCAGAAAACGACCAAAATTACGTTAAATTTTCCGAAGATCATCGAAATGCATCTAAATTCATCTTCCCAATGCATATAGTTAGCTATGCGACAGGTAAATAAACGAGAAAAAAAAACAATTTCGGCAAAAAGAAAAATTCAAATTCGTTTGCGCGCACTCCGGACTCGAACTCACGACCCTCAACATACACGCTGAGTGTTGTCCCCTTGCGCCACCACGCCTTACGCGGAAAATATGTTAATTAATTGTATATATACAAGTGCCTGTCGGTAGTATACTATAGTATACTACAATACATCACGGCTACCAGCCGGCAATACCGCTATAAGCCGGGCATGTCTGTAGCATACTATAGAAAACATCACGGCTACCAGCCGGGGTTATTTAACTGTAATAAAATACTACAATGCAATACGAGTGTCAGCCGAGCCTGCCGGTAGTATACTATAGTATACTACAATACATTGCGGCTACCAGCCGGCAATACGGCTATCAGCCGGGCGTGTCTGTAGTGTACTATAGTATAGTGTACTGCAAAACATCACGCCTACCAACCGGGGTTATTTAACTGTAATACAATACTACAATGCAATACAACTGTCAGCCAAGCCTGTCGGTAGTATACTATAGTACTACAGACACGCCCGGCTGATAGCCGTATTGCCGGCTGGTAGCCGCAATGTATTGTAGTATACCATAGTATACTACTTACAGGCTCGGCTGACACTCGTATTGCATTGTAGACTGTAGTATTTTATTACAGTTAAATAACCCCGGCTGGTAGCCGTGATGTATTGTAGTATACTATAGTGTATACTATAGTATATACCGTATATATACTATACTATAGTATATAGTATATACTATAGTATATACCGACAGGCTCGGCTGACACTCGTATTGCATTGTAGAGTTGTATTACAGTTAAATAACCCCAGCTGGTAGCCGTGATCTATGCCGTGATGCGGTAAATGACATGGTCTAATTTATTAATTAATTTAAGGAAGTTGGGGGGGGGGGACTAAGCAATGTTAGAGCTTTTCGCAAGGAATTTAGCATTTTGGGGCAAATTTTGTAGCAGTGCAGCCACATGTGACAAACAATTTATTCAAAATGCGAGGAAATTTTGAAATAAATTTCAAATTTCAGGCTTAAAACATGGCTAATGATGAACTAATGATGGATTTTCAAAAACTAAAAGAAGATATACGCACTTTTTCAAACGGTGAAGCAAGAATTATTGATTTTGACACGAAAGAACCAAGCAAGCATATTAAGTTGAATTCCATAAAGGCCGAACATTTGTATTTCAATTTTTCCCTTGGACTTCCTACCCAACTGGAGATCAAAAGGTGGTATTTCTAACGCTAATCTTGTATCCTGTGGTTGATCGAGGAAATATTGAAGTGCTGGGTAATGATATATTTTCTTTGATATTAAATAGTGTAAACTTTTATAGCTCTTGACTCTTTGAGTGGCAGCACTCCCCGACTCCCCTTGACGAGTAAAATCGTTTGGCGTTAGACAGAGTAAAATAATAAAGTAGGGCGCATCAAAGTGCAATGCAGCTTAACTTAACTCATTGAGCCCCGGCGCTATCCCCTCGGAAAGTTGGTAAAGTCAGCTTTGGCATGAGTCCCAGGTTGGACTGGTGCCGCCCACCGTGGGGAACCTCCATACGTGTGAACGTGGCCATAGATTATAGATCATACCAGATGTCTCACTGTGTATCTATCCCTATGATTTTCGTGTCCGCGATTTTCGCGAGGCTATCACGTACGACTCTTACTGCCAAAATATTTTCTAGGTCTGGTTATAATAAAAATAATGGTTTAAAGTTTGTGAGTTCACACCATACAGGTATATCACTCACATTTTCGCTCGCTACTCTGTTTTTTATAAATGAATGGAAAACCCAGTGAATTGCATTCACGACCTAACATTTCGACACTCCAGTCTAGTGTCTTCATCAGGGGAGGTCTGAAGTCGCAACATGGCTTTTTCTATACCCATGGGATGATGTCATCTGCCAACAAGATGGAAGAGCAATAGATTTTCTAGGCCAGGCCATGTAATTTACTTTATGTTAAACTCACATGTTTTGCAAGTCGAGATTGTCTTGTGCCTAGATTGATGTTTATCACAGTGTGCGGCACCATACATTCTCTGAAATCTGCATATGCAGGAAGTTTTATATTGGAATTTGCTGCCAGGAAGGAAAATATATTTTCTACAATCGTCCACAAAATATTTGAGACAAGCCCCCTCCCCCGATTTCAATTTTGTTAGATACTACAATATAGTTTAATTCAAAGACCATACGTTTAATTTCAACTGCCAGTGACACAGTGTTATGTTCGTTTTGGTTAGGTACAGTAGGATTTCAACATTGAAATAAAGGGGGAGGGGAGTAATTTAAAAAGTCTTAATATATTTTGTGGACTATTGTAGGCCTGTCTGCCATGCTGACCAAAACTAGTTTGGTACGTTCCGGATCCCCCCCCCCCTGATGGTTAACTCAAGTCTTGACTTAACGCTTGAAATGTTGCGTAAGTAAAATTTTAGGCTTTCTTTGTAAAAAACTATTTCACTAGGAAACTTTTGCGAGTATCGAGTAACTTTGTTCGGGTAAATTGAGCAATTATGGGATTTTAAATTTTGCCAGTGATTTTGCAATTTTTGCTTGCAGTGAAACCTTCCGGCACATATTTCGGTTTCCTAGAAGCCAATAAAGTTAAGGTAGACTCTTCGATTAACTCACTGGAAATTTCCTTTTCATTGTCAATGATTGATGAATAGTTTTAGGATTAGTATTAACGCTAGTTCCATGCTCAGATAAGAAGCTCTGCTTGACATAAACACAATATCAAAAATGATATTTAAGATAGTAAGACCCAAGAGTGGACCACGGGACTGTACTGCAGGTGTAACCTCGATAAAAAATGCCATTATTTGTGCATCCATCTTAATAGTGCAATCAGGGGCGTTGGTTTCTAATTGTCTGGGCATCCAGCAGATTGGGACCCAGGAAAGTATTATGCTTAGGGCAGTGGTGTTCGTGAAGAAAACACCTAGTCATTCCGTCACATGGCCTCATTCATCACTGTGTGAGTTCCATATTTACGTAGAGAAATTCAAAATGTCTATCCACAAATCTATCACTAAGAGCATTAAAAACTTTCTATTACAACAGCAATTGATTACACTTGAACAATATAATCAATAGTACTGCAACATTCACATCATGTCATGGATTCTAGGTTTTCAGCTTAATATTTGGGGTTAGGTATGGGTTGGGGTTACAATTATAGGGTTTAGGTTATTAAGGTAACAAATAATCATTAATTATAAGTAATAGCATGGCTTGAGGGAGATTAGTGATTAAATAGCCCCGTAACCCGAGGCAGGTTTGCGGAATTTCCGAGGGCGAAGCCCGAGGGAATTCCGCAAACCTGCCGAGGGTAAGGGGTCATTTAATCACTAATCTCCCGAAAAGCCATGCTATTAGTTTGTAATAGCATAGTTGCGTTCCCATTTAAAAATGGACAAACATGCCCTACTTGGAATCAGCGTATTTAAGCTAGAACATTTGCTTCATTGCTTGTGGGATGTAAAAGCTTGTTGCAC